CCTCCTCCCTTCATCGGTGGCCCCATAAGGCAAGGCAAAATAAAATAAAACTTCTGTCAAGGGAGTCCCCTTTTCCTCGTACACACGCGCAGCTGCTCAGGTAGCACGAGCTACTTCCACATTAGAGGACGGAATTGCCGTGGGGTGCCGTGCCCCATTAAAATTCCGTCTGGCCAGACGCCCGGCTGCTCCCTCGCGTGCTGCGTGCAACACCGTGAGCCCAAGGGGGGAAACCGGCAGAAAGAAAGAGATTATTAAGGTGACGAACTTTCGATCGATTTGTTCGGGATGCACCCCTCTTCCGCGTATGCAGCAAAAACCGGGAGAGAGATGCAATATTTCATTTCAGGAGAATGACATGGACCGCCGAGCAGATTAATCTTGAGATCATGGAACGATGTTTCTGGTGTATGAATTAAATAGTTTTTTTTTTTTTTTTTTTTTAAATACTTCGTACGAATTAGGACGTTATACAGATTAGGTAGTTTTTTTTTTTTTTTTTCTTTCTTCCTAGTAGAGTAGGAACGTTTATTTTTCGAATATAGATAACAGATGATTTTCCAGTTAATAACCAGTTCTGTTCCAATGATGGAATATTTGGATATTAAGGATCGAGCAATGTTTTATCATAATGCTGTCAAATCTAGCGAAGGAAGTAGCGACAGAAAAGATATTAAATAAATCCTTGAATTTTCGTATTCACAATTCTACACAATAGAATTCGATATTGTAAATCGATTGAAAAGTACGAGAGCGACGAATAACAATTTAAAATAGCTCTCTTCTACGATAATAATAAAACGATCTATTAAATGTTAAAGAAAATTCGTTGCCACGTTTGATATGAAATTGTAAGATTCCAAGAGAGAGAAATAGAGCTTGAAAGGTAATTCGACGTAAGCCTCTCGCGCTATTAACACCTGGACAAAAGATCCAAGGACATTAAGGAATACCTTCCTGTTCAGTACTACCAGCGGCTATTTCCTCTGGTCCTCTGGAGAAAAGGATCCGAGCTAATTATAACGGGCCCCATAAAAGTGTACAAAGGTGCGAAAACTGGCGCAAAGTGAGGACACGGTTCATTGTCCGGCGTGTTACTGCAAAGTGGCTGAGGATCTCTTAAACTGTGTAGAAGTGGCCAGTAACGAGAAAGACTCGACCATTTTCACGCCTCGCTTGAAAGCGAGGAACTAGAGGCCGATTTGTCGTCGGTCGTAAATCCGTCCTGCTAATTCCCAGCACGAGACATCCGGCGTTCCGTGGCAAGGCGTTGCGGGGGCGTTTCGTGTGGTAAACATAATGTCCTGACCGTGAAAACCTTTTGTCTGGGGCGGTGTACCTTGGCTTTTCCGCACGAACCGAACGCGTGTCTAGTCTGGTCTTTTTTCCAGCGTTACACCTGGAAACTTTGCTGAATCCGTGTATCGATCTCCCGTCGAAATTTAGGGATCCTCTCTCAACTGGAAAATTCTCCTTTAACTATTTCTCTTCTATACACGTTCACGATCATATTACTTCTATTAATCTTTATATTTACGAGTGGTTTTTCAAAATCACGTACAAAATACTTATACCCCCGTTTTAAAACTGAGAAGATTAAGTAATGTATTTTGTACAATAAAAACGGTTGTATTATAACATGCACGAAAAATTTAAAAAGTTAATGTCGAATATTAAAAGTAAGAAATATCCCAAGCTTTTCGAGCGTACGTATGAAATTAAAATAGTAGGTACTATATCGAGTCTACACTTATATTTCTTCAACGTAACCAAACTTCCCAACTCCCTGTCTGCACCAAGTAAGCATCAAAAAACTGAACGAAACTTTCATTCACCAAAGACCTGATTCACCTGGTTCCAATTCAATTCTCCAATCTGTTCATCGATACCTATCATTCTCAATGTAACAACTTGTCTCAGGGGAACATCTGCCCACGCAAGTCCCGTTCAAAAACGCGTGCAACCACCACCTCCGTTGCGTTTTACATTATGGTGTATCTCTACACACGCGCATATCTATCGAAACGGAGAAACAGAGCTGTGGAATCATGCGGACGCAACGGTTCGTTGGCTGAAGTGGCTCCGATAAAAAGAACGAAATAGAATCTATCACGCTGTTCTCTATCTTTTCTTCGCTCGCGAGCCTTCCAATTCTTCGGCTGTGCGCGACAGATTGGCTGGCCCTCTCCACGGTATCCGGCCCCAATTTTCGATGGCCGCCTCCTTTCTAACGGGGAAGCTTAAACATCGCTCGAGAAACGAGCCGCGTCGAGCGGCGTTCACGATCGAACGGCACAACTGTATCGTCTTTTTCACCGGTGCGCCGCACAATGACTTCGGAACATATGTCGAACGACGGAGTTTCTCTCCGGCCGCATCAAGATACGTTATTAACGCGCGCCGGAGGAGGGAAAAACGGTTCGTTCTCTCGCGTAGGAAATTGTAGCGGGTGTAGAAAGAGTAGATCGAAACGAAGAGAGAAAGAGAGAGAGAGAGAGAGAAAGCGAGAGTAGTGAAGAGCGAAGGAGAATCCATTTTCATGTCGAGATCGACTCGAACGCCTAGACACACACGTGGGTGGAGGAGAGAAGCAGAAGGACAAGAGAGGGTGGGATAGGTTGAGCCATCTGGTTCTTTTTCTACACACGACCACCTTGAGAGCCTTTTAAATCCACCAGAGACATGCACCTTGAGACCTGTTTAGGCCAAGGACCCTCGAACTCTTGGCCCTTTAAAGATCGACCCTGAAACGAAGACACCAAAACTTTACCCCTGGCCTCGCCTTAACAACCTCGAGGGTAACCGCACCATTCAGTGGTCAGGTTCTCTCTTTCTCTGTCTTCATTTTTTCTTTTCTTTTCTTTTTTTTTTTTTTTTTATTAATACGTGTATACGTTCTTCTGTTCCGTTGATTTGGATCGTGTTTCTTCACGAAGATCTTGGCTGTTTGATTTGTATCGGGTTTAATGCACTCGCCCCGGATCCTTTGACTTTTTTCATTCGAGTTCTTGATCGAACGAGTGTGTTTAGGCGATGGATAGTAGTTTTTGTTCAATTTAAAAGAATGTGATTGACTGTCTAGATGTGGTAGCAACCAAAAAAGTTTCGATACAGTTTGTTTGCTATGTGTTAATTTATTTATTTTTAATTTACTGTTTTTTTTTTCATTTTATTATTGAATTTGATAGAACACGTGCTCTGAAATATTCTAAACGGAGATGATTATTGAAAAAATATGTATTATTAGATCTATCGACGAATATCAAAAGCTTTGGTTACTAGTGTATTGATTATTATGTCGAAATTATGTGAATGGTAAATAACGAGTGAATTTCCACGAAACAGCGAGAGATGAAACTACGACAATGGAATTTCTATCGATAGTCTTAACAGTGGAACAATGCATCTATAATCTATAAGATCTCGTGCTCTTAAATAAAATATTACCACGATCATGCATCTTGCATCCCTCCGCTCTACGTTAATTAACATTTTACGGAACCGTAGAAAGAGAATCGAGAGCATCGTGCCTCGGCTGTTTACCGTGAAGATCATCGGCGAGAGTTCACCGGCGACAAAGCCAAATTAATTTGCCAATCGTTATCGATGGCGGATCTCGAAGGGATCGTCGGTCGCTCCCTGATCGATGTACCAAGTGTGTTTCATCGTCGTAAGTCCCGCGACGCTGTCGACGAATTCCAAACAACGAATGCAGGAAACGAGTCGAGTCGAGTCGAGTCTACGGAAAAGAGTAGAGAACAGAGTCGCGAGGACGAAACACGTATGCGTAATCTTCGAGTGGATATCGGGAGATGAAAAAAATTGCAACTTCAGATGCTGCTACGGCAAGCATTTCTGACCCGTATCTCGGCGCAATTCTCGTTGGCCCCTTACCCTCGCCGCGCGTTCCCAGCTACTTTTGTCTTCTTACACGGCTCACCCCGATCTCTGGTCGCCGGGACTCGGCTACGTGCAAGGGTGCATCCGGGACGGACCAGATTTACAGTTGCCAGACGCGTATGCACTTTTGTCTGAATGCGCGTGCGACGCACAGTGGCCAAATTAATACAGGAATCGTTGAAAATTCGAAATGCAATTCCTTCAACAGATACAAAGTGTGAAATTTCTACCAGAGATACTGAAAACAGAAAACAATATTTACGAATTTTTGATCACGTGTCTTATGAAAAATCGCATAATTGTGTATCGATTTCTGTTACGTTCGTAATATTATTCTTTTCTGACTGAAACTCTCATTAAGCTACAATTTTAATGTTCTTCTTTTTATTTATCTTGTGATCTTCAAAGTTTCTGTCGAAAGACATTTCAATGATTTTCAATCGTTCCTGCTGGCTGTCTTTTCTTCTAACTCGTAAATTCAGCCACTGCGGCGGTAAAATAGACGAAAAGACCAGTGAGTGAGCTAGAATCCACGGCACAAGAGAGATTTGTACGCATCGGGGATTCTACGGAGAGAGAAAGATAGGGTAGCAAGGAGGATGAGGTAGCCGATCCGCTTGGGGATGGGCCGTGACAGTGAGACTTTTATTAGGGAAGGAATCAGCAAGCATGATTATGTACCTTAGAGCGTTTCCACCTCCGTTTACCACCAGTTTCTCCCTTCTCCTTCTCCTCGTTCGCCTATCCCTCTAACCACCCTTCTTCCTACTTCGTCTCCGTCACCGAGCTATCGCCACTGACATTGCACGACGACGACGACGACGACGAGACTACGACGACGACTACGAAGCTGCCACCCCGTCGCAGCTGCATTGTCAACCCCTTCCCTCCGTCAACCCACTGCTCCCTGCACGACTGTATGCACGCATTGGCGTAGAACGACGGAGAATCCGACTGCCTATCTGCCAGATACTACTGCTACTCGTCTTTCTCGCGAGCTTACTCCGTTAGCTTCTTACGTGGAACTTTTATTCGCGAGGGTGATGCAGAGAAGAGGTTGAAGCGTGTTGGTACAATGAGGTGTCGGATATTGGTACTTACGATAAACGTTGCCGTGGCGATTTGAAAGATGCTGTCCCCTGTAACACAAGAAGAAGATGCGGACGTTTAGACTCGCGATGAGTAAAAATTTGAGCAGGATGATGATCATCGAATGTTTTTCTTGTTGTCGAAATATTTCGAAGTGTTTTGTACGTAGAAAACACTTCGAAGATAACTCGTCTTGAGGAAAGTGAATTATTTTTCAAATATATTAATTTCGTATGTTATTTTATATTTCTGTTTTCTATGTTTACGTGCATGCATAGGAACGGTATGTTCATATAGCGATCAAAGACAGGTTGTCGTTGAATTATTTCTAAACTAATACGTTTTACACGGTCCACTGACAGTGATCGTCTTAACAAATGTGTACTATCGCTAGATCTCGACAGACTCGAGAAGAATCGAGTACCGTCAGGAATCGCTCGGCGGTATTACCGAATTCCTCGTCTGTAGATGAAAACGCAGAGAACAGAGCCGTCCTCCACGAAATTTGCATCTCTGCCTCGCCAATGCCGCCCAAGGCGATATTGTCGTCACAATGAAACCGCCCCCTCCCCCCTCGCCCTCCCGCCGAAGCTCGCCATCGCAGCCCTCGATACACACTCCGACACAGCGATGTCATGTGCGGGTGTCGCACTCGAACTTTCGCCTCGAACCAGATGCGCGAAACTTCGCGAATTCTGATCACGCATACATCACGGCACGGCTAACAAAAAAAATTTTATCAGCCTTTTTTCTCTGTTTTTCCCCCCCTCTCCTCTCCTCTCGATTCTATATTTTTTTTCTCTCTTTCTCTCTCTCTCTCTCTCTCTCTCTTTTTTTTAGTTTTCGAATTGTCCCTCTGGACACGGTAAAATCCTTTTGAAACAACCGGTGCGCCAGCCGAAACTTGCGCCGGAGAAAATTTAGATGCAGATGACCAGCCTCGTCCGCTCTCAAACTTTTTAATTTCGAATTCTCGTCCCGGCACGGATTTAGTTTCCGATAGGTATTACCGGCTCTCGAAATAGTTACGCCAGGCTTTCTGCTAATTTACATCGCACTGCAGGTGGCGACATACACCGTCGTGCATACGTGTTCTTCAAGTTGGTGCTTTTTAGCGAAAAAGTGTTCTCAATTATGGGGATGTAGAAGCAGAGTGATGAGGGCTTCGGAGAGGGTTTAATTTAGAAAAGTTAGAACAATTAGATTGTGGACTTTTAAGAATTAGGAATTCGTTAGGAAGCAGACGTTATTAAATAATCAATTCTTTAGGAATTGTAATTATTAGATACTGTGAACTTTTGAAGTATCAATGAGAAGCTGTAAAAATGTGCATACAGGTAATTCGTAAAAATAAACATAACATTCAAAGCAGAATAGTAATTATAATTTTTAGTAGGTGAAACAAGTCTCCATTCGAACTCCCGGTTGTATTATAATTATTCTTACGAGAAATATATCCTATATTAGAAGAGAATGTAAAAAATGCTAGCAGTTAAATTATTACTGTATTAAACTTTATATTTACATCCATTATCGATCCATCGTCAATTTATTTATCCGAGATATTGTATATTTTTATGTTCAACAAAGTTTCACGATACATCTTTGGTACCTTTAACGATCGATAATCGTTCTTTGTAAACTCTCATTTATGGTAGATAAAAAAGAAATATAATTCATGTTATTATAAAAGTGAATTGACTGTTTCCCAATTCTTTTCCAATAGTTTGTTAATTAATATTGTTAACAATATTTCACGTTTCATCGTTTTATATTTATCGTACAGTTATATTCAATTTGTGAAACAGATAAAAATTGTTTTCATTTTCTAAGAATTCTTGCCAAGTAAAATAAAAGACGTTTAATCAACTAAAATCGATACTTCTAGTAGATATAAAATACTGCATCTTCTTACAGGGATACATAATTCACTTGTCCATTGTAAATAATGTAGCAGAGTTATAACAATCCAAGATGTACGTAGATAGATACGTGAAGGAAGACAGAAATATACGAAGACACACATGTATCGATTCAAAATTTGCATGTGTGAACATCGTATTCAAATAAAAGGAAGATATTACACATTCGATGCATTGCTATAAATATTTTCTTTGATAACACAACAGTAACCTTTCGTCACGATACAATATTTTTTTCCCAAATTTGTTTAATTAATCTACTTAATCATTTAATCTCGAGCTATCGTGACTATAAAATTATTCATATCTACAAAATTACACTTTACCATGGAAAATTGATTTCAGACATATTGGTTATAATCCCGTTGTCTAATGATTAATCGAATCTCTTAAAAGTTTTAATTCTCGCTTTTTAATACCACGTGTATTAAATTCACAGCGAAGTTAAAATTGATTGGGATTTCCTAAAATTGGTTTCAAACACGTTTCAATCCAACGAATATTCTTAGCTCTTAATAATTTCAGACTCTTACTGTTTAACATTCTGTATAACAACAATAATTGATTAACGAAGTAGAAATAAACCTTCTTAGTCATTCGTAATTTCTTGCCAGGTCTCTTAAAATTTTAGCGCTTTACTAGTTAATGTTCTACAGGATAGTAACAATTCACGAAGTAGAAATAAATCTTTCATTTGTAACATCTTGTCGACTTCGAACTCGATATCCACTATCAAAAATCTAAAAACATTTAAACATTTACAAGAAGCTCTAATGAATAAATATCGACGTATGAAACGCTGTATGAAACATTTTGAAGTTTTATTAACACCGAAGGGGTATTGATCAGAAAGTTTTACCTTTAGAGAGTTTTATATCTATTTTTTACTACTAAAGAAAACACGTAAAGAATACCATGTTAAAAATTTTCAAAATGTGCTATCTAGCGGTTGAATTTGGGAAGGAAAGAGGTAAAAAAAAAATCAAAGCAAATGAAAGCAATGGAAGATGATCAATATGAAGATATTACTGTGAAAATATTACTACGTCTATGTACATTCATATTTTTATGAACGTAAAATAGCACACACTATATTTTCTTATATTATGTATCGTACAGTAGAGAGAATGCGTAGATATTTGCATCGGTTTTGAAAGTGGTTTCACGTGTGATAAACAGCACGTTGAATGTTATTACGAAGAATTTCCGAGAAGCAAATGTACGAATGTAAATACTTGCCGCAGTCACGAGCCAGACAAGTTTGTCTTATTATTTACGCTCCTCAGTCGTACGGAAACTATCGGACGCGTAACATTCGTGCGAGATACAGTCGGTTAATTGCGCATTAGTTGGTAGAAATCGCAAAGTGATAGTGAATTTTCTAAAAGATTCCGATAATCATGGATAAGGGACAAAGTTGTGGACGATAAAAAGTAGTGTCTAATAGCTCGGCTAGTGACAAACGTGCTGTGATACGTATACCGTCGAATTCTGTTAATAATTCTCACTTGTACACGGTTACAACGTTTCGCCTCAACCTTTACCTTGCTTTCGTCGCCGAGATGAGACGCCGAGTCCTCGTGTATCATCAATTTCCCGTGGAAAAGCGAAATTCCGCAAAATCAGAATGCGTCTTTCTACGGTCCTATTCAACTCGCTGCCGGCGAAGGATGCATCGAGACAACGCCTGGAGGGTAAGGAAGGAAGAAGGACCGAGGACTAAGGAGGTCATAGGTGTGAGGCATAGTTCGACGCCAGTATCTGAGACAGTTTCGGCGGCAAGACTTAACAAATAGGCAAAGTTTTGTTCCGAGGATAACCGAGCCCGGCGGATTCTCCGGCGTTGCTACGACATCCTCTCTACTCTTTGTCTCCAAGTTTATGATGTATTAGACGTCCCCTGCCGCGCGTTCCTTTCCACCCGTTCCTGCGCCTTTCGGCTGACCAATTTATACAGTGCACGGGGCAGTCAACGACGAAACTTCCATCTGAGCGAATTAACCACTCTACTTGCTGGGCGATACGTCTGGACTTTGGACGATTGGGTGAGTGCAAATGTTTTTTCAAAGAGATATTTCTCAATGCCGAGAAGGTGTGAACGAAGGCGTGAATTAATTTTCGAGATTAAGATTAATTTAATGAGTTTAAAGAGTTTTGGTTTTTAAAACGATGTGTTTTTCGAAATTTCTTTTTTTTTTTATATAAAATGTGCGCGCGAGATAATTTTTGGATTTGAAATTAAATTCCGCAATTTTTATAGAAACCTGAAGAATTTGAAATGTATTTTTAAAAATTTTAGAACGACACTTTTTATAAAATACACATAGATGAAAACTGTAATCAAAGTGAACTTCGTCGATTCATTTCATAAATGTACCCATTTACCCCGTAAATGTATCCGTAAAATTGCTCTTTTACTTTTATTGTATTACTTTTTTCTCGTTGCATATAAGTGTAACTCCATGTAGTTTCGCGATGGTAAAGAACTGCAGAAAAGTTAAAAGTAGACTTAGGATCAGAATAGTGAAATATAGTTTAACAATAATTCTCGTGCTATAGTACAAAGTGCTATAGATACGTATACTTGAGACAGTGTGTAATAAGAATGAATTTCTCGTGTGAACTGCTTTGACTTGAGTTTCTAACTCTTATATATACGTATACCGAACTTATACCGATTAACTTAGATTTTCTATCGACTTGGATACTAAAATAGAAAATAAACTGAAGGATATACTTTCTTACATGTGACATGTAAATCTTCGTTCTGAATTTCTCTTACACAAAAAATATCTTCTATAATTCTTCTTTTCTTTTTTCAAAGTTCATTGCAATCGTTCTTCGAATAAATAATCACGGAATTTATTAAATTTTATTAATAATAAATATCGAATGTACGTTAAATCAAGTTCCTAACGTTGTATCAAATATATTTTATTGAGTTTCCAGAACTATTTAAAACTTTTCTAAATAGATAACAATAGCAGTGAGTTATACTTCTCTAAGTGAAAGCCTGTCAAGAGGAACTGCAAATAATTTTTCGTTCGCGTTTAAATAAATAGATTCAAGCGAGAAATTCATTCGATCGACTACTGATTGAAACTTACTTCAAACAAATGCAGTTCGTA